CGCTGGTTTCTCTCCCCACGGGGCTGGGTAAGACCTTCGTGGCCGCCGTCGTCATGTACAACTTCTACCGCTGGTTCCCCTCCGGCAAGGTGCTTTTCCTCGCCCCCACCAAGCCGTTGGTGGCTCAGCAGATGGAGGCCTGCGCCCGCGTGATGGGCATCCCGGCCCGGCACATGGCGGAGATGACAGGTAGGGTCAGCTCCGGCGAGCGTCGAGCTCGGGGGGTCGCCTCGGAGGAGCCGCGAACATCGAGACTGCTTAGCTTAAAGACGAGGGCAAGCCGCAGTCGAGGGGGGAAAAAAAAATAGCCCTTTTTGAAGACAAGAAGTTTTTGTAAGGGGTTAATTTTAGGCTTTGCGGTAGTTAAAACCCCAGGTCACCCGTATGAGGGTGAGGAAGCGCTGGAAGATGTTTTCGGGAGCTCTGGGGTGCAGCGCTGTGGTTCACAGAGCCTTAAGGTTTCCACATAGAGGGGCAAACATCTGCGCAGAAAACAGGCTCTCTGTGAAACTTCAGCCAAAGCATAAAGGCTTTTTTCTCTCTGTCAGTGCGATACTTAACAGTGCAAACTGCAGTTCATCGCTTGCTGAAGCGATAGCCTCAGTGACTGACTCCATAACCCGGTTTTAAGCGCAGACCTTTGTCAGGGGTGGTGTAGGTTAGGTCTGGGGCTGCGGGAGGTTAAGGGGCACCGTGAGCTTTCTGGCCTTGTGTACCGCGGTTCTGGATTTAGTGTTTTAATGCAAAAAAAATATTCCTAGTCATTGTATTCACCTTATTTCCCTGAAAATGGGACTGGCATCAAGGTGCATGCCATTTTAAAAGGCTGTCATTTCCCAAAGCTGATGTGTCTGCCAGCCCCGTTGGCCTTCTGCTGTCGCTCTCGGGTCACGGCTCATCCTCAGCAGAAGAGTTGCTAATGTTGTTTTGTTAATTTTCAGGGGGAATCCAAGCTCTCAGCCGGAGGGAACTGTGGACTACCAAGAGAGTCTTTTTCCTTACGCCCCAAATAATGGTGAATGATCTTTCTCGTGGGACATGTCCTGCCGTAGAGATTAAATGTTTGGTTATTGATGAAGCCCACAAAGCCCTTGGAAATCACGCCTACTGTCAGGTAAGGCTGGGGTCACCCCATCTTCTCTCACGATTATGAAAAGCCTCCCCCAAAATCGCTTACAGGCTCTCCATAACGTGTCACGCAGCACTACCGTAGGGAGATGGGCCTTCAGGTCCTCAGCTTTGTTTGAAAGAGATCAAACAGCCCTCTCTGTTGTCAGGGCCTTGTTTCTAAGGAAAACCTATACTGAAACTTGGTAAGGTGAGGGGGGAATTTTTTTTAATGTCTGAGTAAAATTGTATTTTTTGTTTCAAAATATTTTTTTGATGGGGACAATTAAAAAAAAAAGTCACTATGCTGCTTTCTGTCCTGCTGTTTTGAGCAACCTCCTGTAGTGGAAGGTGTCCCTGCCCATGGCGGGGGGTTGGAACTAGATGGTCTTTAGGGACCCTTCCAACCCAAACCAGCCTGTGATCCTTTCAGACACGTTGGTATTTGCAGGTGTGCTCTGCTCCGGTTGTGCTGTGTTGGAATAGCTCTTGAAAGGGGGGACACTATTTTTCTGTAGGAAAAAGTGTGAGGTTTTTTGTCAAGTTCTTTATCTTAGTAAAATCAGTTCAAGATTTCTTTTTGAAATCAGCTTTTGTCTTGATTAGCAAGGAGTTTGTTATCTTGGCTTAATCTCCTCGTAGCAATACGTGGCTGGAAAGCAGGTCGGTTTTATGTGCTGGAGAGATTGACTGAAAGTCTGTGAGTTGTGCCCCGTTGCTTACTAGGCCTCTTTTGAGGAAAGCAGGTGGGGTTTAGTGCTTGTTTCACTTGGCAGGCTGCAAAAAGGGGTGGTACCTTGCCAGGTTAAAACAGTACACATTGGTTTGCCAGTGCTGCTCCTTTCTTCCTTTTTCAAAACTGTAGCAACTACATTTGCAAAGAATTTAAGCTTAAAGGTTATTTTATTTCAACATACTGTATAATAAATGTTTTCATAAACTATTTTGCTATTACGTGCATGTCTCTAACACAGAACCAAGACTTGGATTCATTAGCTTTGGGGTCCGAGCTATGGCTGAGGAACATCTCTGCCATCACCCCTCGTCCGTCCCCGCGGCTGTGAAGTTGGCAGGGGTTCCCTGCGGTAGCTGTACCTTTGTGTGGGTATCGGCAGAACCATCAGCACAAATTGGATTCCTCTGTGGTCTCCATTCACCTGTTCTCTGCAGCTTTTCTGCTGTGCTGTATTATTTGTTGTGCAGTGCCAGGTGGCTGGTCGGAAGGCACGGTGTTCGTGACAGCGCTGGCAGAGTTCGGGTCTGTGGGAAAACGAAGCAGGGAGGCAATTTGGTGGCTGCTTGAATGTTCAGCAGACATTGTCCTTGTCCTGGCTTTGGTCTTGGAGGGGGTTGTGGAACGAGAAGACGGGAAGTCTAAGGAACGTTCAGCCGTTCTCCCGATTGCTAATGCAGCGTTCTCCAGTGAGGCTCAACTGCATGCTGGCTGGCGTGGTGGTTGTTGTCTGGTCTCTGTTCAGATTTCGCAGGACTAGTCGCCCGTGATTTACTTTTCAGAGTGGTTCTTCAAACTCACTTTTTGGCAGCTTGCTTGAGTTAGCGCGCTGTTCATCCTTGTGTTAAATCAAGTGATGTTACCGAGGTCGTTCTGCTGGGTGGGACTGGGCTAATGGGCTTAATCAAGATCAAGTGTTCTTGGTTAAAATGGTTATAAAGCGAACACTTCCTGCATCCCATTTGAATTTAGAGATACTCTTTTGAGAATATTTTGTTAAGCTTTTTCTACTGAGTGGGTATTTTCATCGGTATAGTTTGTATAAGCAAATAGTCTCCTTTAAGGATATTAACGGCAACTTTCCTGTTCGTAGGTTGTACGGGAACTAAGCAAATACACAGATCAGTTTCGGGTCTTGGCCCTCAGTGCCACACCAGGCAGCGATACAAAGGTGAGTCAAATCTACTTGCGTGGCTGAAATCATGACGTTCCAGTGAAGCGATGTTCCATACCAGTTTGAACGCTGGGGGGGATGCTGAAGTCCATTAGAATTCCACAGAAGAACTGGATCTCTTTACAATCCATTAGTTGTTAAGGGTTTGCCTTTTTCGTGCTGTAGGCTCTATATTGTTTGTGTCCTGGCCTTTCTAAAAGGAAATGATACTTTTTGGGTTTTGAGAATCCAAACCCGCTGGAACCCAAAAGAACTCTCTCTCAGTGCAAATGGCTGTTGCATTCCGTTCAGCGTGGTTCTTGGTAAGGAGGAGTTTTCAGTCGGAGGCAGGTGGACATCCACATGCAGTTTAAGCTCCTGGCTCTGGGTTGCTTCTCATTTCATGGTGCTCCTAACGCCAACGGGAGAGCTGTGTCACTCCAGCCCTCGTGCCATTGCACGCTTCTTGCATTCATGAGCTTACCATCTTGGCCTTTTGTGTGCTCCACTGAAGTGGAGAGGCTTGCATTTCTCATCTGCAGGCAGCAGGAACCTTTTCCTTGCAGTTCTAGGCCTGATAAAATATGGAAATAGGGACTTTGATGTGATACTGACTTGCACTGTTGGAGTGTTAACGAGCGAGTACGGACTTTTTTTGTGGCTTCTCAACAGGCTGTGCAGCAAGTTGTTTCCAACTTACTCATTGCGCAGATAGAGCTCTGCGCTGAAGATTCTCCGGAAATCCAACCTTATTCTCATGAGAGACAAGTGGAAAAAATCGTTGTTCCGCTTGGTGAAGATTTGGTAGGAATGCAGAATGCTTACATCCAGGTGAGCTGTTGCGTTTCTTTGTTGTTAAATGCACAGTGTCACTAAATGAATAATCTCCCTACCTGCTTGAACTCCTCTGTCTAGCCGAGCAATAACTTACAGAGCCAACACCTTCCTACGCAGTTAACTTTGCCTTTCAGTATAAGGCAAAGAAAACCCCATGGTTTCAGCTACAGCAGCTGCTGTTTCACTTTGCACAGTGATACCTGTTGTCTTGCAGTAACTTAAGAAGCTCTGGTGGAAAACTTACAGTGGAGTTAGTTTTCTCATGCTCTTTCAGGAGTCCTTGCGAAATTGGCGTGCGACCTGCATGGAGGGCTTCTTAATTTGGCTGGGTTTAGTAGCATGAAGATGTTGCCAACAGCCGTGCTTGTGTTGTCTCGGTTATTGCCAGTTACAAAAGCTGTATATTGACTGAAAGATTTTCTCTGCTTAAGAATATTCTTTAGAGCTTTAAGTCATCTGTAAGTGTACTTAGTTCTCCTTGATTTTTTTTTGTTCGGTTGTTTTTTGGGGTTTGGTGTTGGTGTGTTGTTTTTTTTTCCTCGAGAGCTTTTTTCTTTTCTTTTTTACCAGTAGGTTATGTCCAAATACCGGCCAGATTAGCAGGGCCCAGAACTGTTGGCCAGTTGACTTGATGGTCTGTGCCTTTTCAGTAAGATGCTAGTACACGAATGGTATGACGTAAGGTACCACTTTGAAAGGTTCAAAATATATGTTGTTCTTTTGGTAAGAGACATAAAAAAAATTAGGATCAAGTTGGTGTCAGACTTGGCCTTAGGATATGTTTTTCGTTCAAGTTCAGTGATTTTGGTGTAGTTGATGTGAAGATTATCGGAAAGCAAACCTGAGCGGTTCCGCTGGTGAGCTAGCAAGGACTTTAAAGGTAGTTTTGCACCACTCCAGGTGCCTCTGAATGTTTGTGTGGCGCGGAGGGATTTCAGCTGGGGCGTTTCACTTGAGATTCCAGCTGAAATAAACACCTGGGTTTGGCTAATCTGGTGTAACTGAGGTGTATGGACAACCTTGACTGAGCTGTCGCTGTGGCTTCAGTGGTTTCTGTTTCCTTCCTTTGATCTGGTATTTGCATTTCTGTTGCTGCTGCTCTGCTTAGAAAATATGACTTGTAACACCCCCCCCACGAAAGGATGGTGCCCTGGGCTGTGCCAGCGTCCATGGCAAAGCGAGCCTTAGTCTTGGAGACCTGGGCCCTTCCCAAAGCGGCTCCAGCCCCTGGTTCCGCAGACGCGTGTCTGTAGTCGTGCCCTCTTCTGCAGCGCAGCGGTGGGCCTCGGCTGGGCTCGGGGGTTCCCTTGCACCATTTACCTGCTTCTGCCGTTTGGTTTCCGAGCGCTTTGAGGTCAGGCTACGGGGGTGCAGCCGCAGAAGCAACAAGTACCTCTCGCGTTGCCCTTGTCCCTTGCCAAAAGGATCAGGTGTGAAGGATGTTCTGATGGCATCAGGACTGGGAGAAAACTCACACACGTACATTGCTCGTTGTTGAGTCCTGCTTCTCTACAGCTTGGTTCTGAAACCAGCCCGGCCCCAGCCTGTGCTGCAGCAGGAGCTGTGGGAGGCTGTGCTGGACAAATTTGGGTTGCAGATGCCCTCTGCAGCGAGGAGGGGTGAGTTTGCTAGCAGACCTGCTGGCTGCAGCATGTAGACGCGTCACTCCAAATGTACGTGTTTATGTCAAAGAATTCTATGGTTTTTTGAAAGTTATTTAAGTTTTTTGGGTCTTAGAGCGACCATTTCAAATCTGGGGCTTGAATGGCTTTTGTAAAATCAGAATAGTGACGGCTGCTGTTGCCATGCAAAGGGAGGATGGCAAAGGGACTTGCATGTCTGTTATGAAATGAAAGGCTGGCGTACTCTGCATGTTAAAATCATTATCTTTAATGTGGACCAACAGTCACAGTAAACAAGACGACATCCCAGTGAAAACAAAGGACAGTGTAAAACAGCACAACTCAACAATGCGGAAAAAATGTTTGTATTCACGTACATGCAATAAGCAAGGCCCTGAGTATCACAATAGCTGGAATAAACTTTTTAGGCACTAATGCTTGTTCGGAAAATACACAGTAAGCAGGACAACATTTATCTGTTAAGGCTACCTCATTTAATCTTCCAAAAATATGGGTGAATTCTGTTTTATTATCTCCTTTGAAGAGTGGAAATCTAGTAACTTCAAATTTAAAATGAAAATCCATTAATTAACAGCTTAAAGGAGAGCCACAGATGGATAATAAGATATTTATTCTGACAACAGGCATTAGGTCATCATGCTTGACGTGATGTTTTCAGACTTTCTGGAATGATGTATTTGAGTAATAGTAACGTTTCCTTGGCATTCACTGGTGTAACCACTGAGTAAACATTACTGTGTGTTGGGAAAAACTGGAGTTTGTCGTGCCTGTGCTGGTAGGGCCAGTTGCAGCAGCTCGTACAACGTTCCACAGCCATAAAGTGTATCTTCAAACTCGAGATTAATTGGTCCTCAGCAGCAGAAGCTGTCTAACATCAGTCAAAATAAATACTACCTTGGAATTCACAGTTTTACGTATGACAACACTGAACACTTTGCTGCAGTTAAGAGTATCAGCACATTCAGAGAAGTACCTTATCTCTGTGTTTCAGTAACAAGAATGTTCTAGAACATACCCACAAGCAGCTGAGTCACAGCAGTGTTTAGGTGAGCGTTGCCTATGGAAAGAGACATAAGATACAGCAAATGCGCATTGCAGTAGAGGTTTAAATTGTGAAGTATGTACATACTGGGACTGTATGGTGAGAGGATTTAACTGCTTCCAGTCACTACTTGACAATTGTTGCGCCAAAGCATTAAAATAATTTCTATAACTGGCAAAAGCAATCAAATTGCAGAAACTTCTTTAATTTGCCATAAAATCTTGTCAAAGGTGAAAATTTTTTTTATTTGCTCTTATAAAACTCTTGGCGGGGGGGAGAGCAAAACAAAACCTGTTATTTTAATGACTCCCTGTGCTGTCTACTCAGCTGTTTTTTTTTAAAAACTTCTTACTGTTTTTCATTAATTTGTTAGCTTTCACCTGGCATTTCCAGACGTTTGAGGAAATGATCAAAATAAATAAAAAGCAATCAGGAAACAATCTAACATACTGAAAAGGAAGTCTGATATATATTTTTTTTTTTAACATCCCCCCCCCCGCTGTGATCCTGTTTCTTGAACAGAGAGGAATGCAAGACGGGGCAGGTGCCTTCATCTCCTTTGTTAAGTAAGAAATACTGATGTGCACATTTAAATGGGCACATCAGACAGTGGTTCCCAGTTGTGGCCACAGCTGGCAGAAGCGTTTGTGCTGTCACACGGCCAACCAGGTTTGATGGCTTTCTGGTTGGAACATGAAAGACCCCAATCCCACAGTCTTTTGTGAGATTCCCCCCCCCCAGTTTAACGTCCAGTGAATTTGTGGCAATGCAAACGCCTGTGCTGGGCCAGCGGGCTGTCTGAACAGCTAGGGACAGAAGAAGGGGAGGATTGCTTTTTCTTTCCTCCCCACAAAGACTTATCGGCTTGTGTTAAAACTAAGGTTTTTCTCTCTTTTCCTTCCCCGCTTTTCCTCATGCTCCTTGCTGTCTCCGCAGGGGTCCCTGTGGGCAGCAGCCACCGGAGGGCCCCCTGCTCACGCTCAAGCCCCATGCCAGCCGGCGCTCTCGGATCCTGCTGCTCAACGAGAGGCTTTAGCTTAAGCATGAGGTCGGGTTTGTGCAGCAGAGAGCCTTGTGGAACGGGGGGCTTAAAGTTCTTGAGACCTGTACGTTTATTCAGAGGTCCTACGTGAATCCAGTTTGTTTGCCAGTTAACTCTCCTGTAGGCTAGCAGACACTGGCTCTGCTTGCCGTTTTGTGTGCTGTAACTGAAGAACACAGCAGCTCTATTTAACACCTAAATCCTGTAATCAATAAATAATGCTGGGGAGGTACTTAATGAAGCTTTAAATAAGAAGACCTTTATGTCTATTAAGATTAAACTCTACCATCAGATCTGTAAGGGGAGACATTAAGGAGGGAGATGCTGCCCCGATTCTGAGGTGCAGTAGGTGCCCTTGAGCTGCAGGAAACAGCAGAGCACGCTGCTGCTTTCAGAGCTTCTGATGGGTGGAGAGCTATGGGCGCTTGTCTTCCCGTCACAGCGTGCTGGGCTGGCAGTTGTCTGCGGGGAGAATTATCATGGGGAGGAAGGGTAAAAGAAACAAGCTGCAACATGGAATATTAGAAATCAGGAAGAAAATTTCTCACAGTGAGGGTGGTCAAATACCGGAACAGGGCCCAGAGGGGTTGCGGGCTCCTCATCCCTGGAGATGCCCAAACTGATCCGGGCGAGGCCTGAGCAGCCTGCTCTGCCAGCAGCACGGCAGAGGGCTGGACCCGGGCACTGCCAGAGGTCGCTTTTTTCCTGTGATTCTGGGAAATACCATTTATAACATTAATAACGTGGAAGTGCCAGAAGAGTGTAAAGAGTACTGAACAAGCTGGTTACTTCAGCTGCAGTGTTCTGACACTCAGCAGAGTCGTAAGAAGAAAGCGTTGGGAAAACGGAAGAGTCGAGAATAACCACTCTCTAGGTAGGAATGCCAGATATAGCCATGGGGTTACTGTGAATGTGTGGTTAAGGTTACCTGTAACTTTTGCTATCGAAACTAATGAGCATTAGGCCTGTTCTGCCTTCTTGGTCTCTTCTCAAGGTTAAAAGTACTGAATGCTTTTTGAGGTAAGCATTAAGAATTTCTGCTCCACGGATGACGACACTGAAAGCAGTCAGCACTGGCCTACTCTTACTCCTTGGTTTAATCCCAGTGGTCGGAATCTGGTAGTTCTCTTCAGAAATTAAGACCTGAACTTTCTTTTCGTGAAGCATGGCCTGCACGTGTGAGCTGGTTCTCGTATGTGTCCCACAGCAGGGGCTTTGTGTAGCTGGTGCAGCACGAGGTGCCCGGGGCAGGGGCCCCAGGGTCTCCCCTAGGATGGTCCCAAGCCACAAGCAGTCTAGGGATGCTAATAAGTGGATGGGGAGAGAGATCTCTGTCTCCCTCATCTTGTAAAAAAAAAAAAAAGATAAGGTGAACTAACTTTTAAAGTGCTAAAAATCTCCGTAAAAATTGTGTAAAACCTGTGAAAGTTGATGTAGGGAGCTGTGTGTTTCAGGCGTTACCTCTGTTTGACTATGAGGTTGGAGCGATTGCTTTGCTAAACGGGCTAAAAGCTGCATGTCTAAACGCTTTGAGGGTGCGACACCTAGTCCCGCGTGATTCACCTGCGAGGTTCTGCCAGTGAGTGGGAGCTGATCCCTGTGCCTGACAGGCGCCAGGACGGGAGGCTACGGTCGCTGGAGGAACCATATCTCGTTGTGTCGGTTGGCAGCAGCCGGGTTTGTGTATCCTGCAATGATGAACGTGTCCTGCAAACATAACTCGGGGCTCTCCAGAATTTCCGCCAACAGGTTTATTTCTCTCATTATAGAGTCTTCGTTGGTGATCCCTCTGAAGCTCCTGTAATAATCAACTTCATATCAAGTTCTTTTTAAGATCCACAGTTTTTCCAGAGCCTAGAAATGCCTCCTTCTAAATTACTTAGTCACGTTTCACAAACGTTACAACCTATGATTGATCTCAAACAGCTTTTTCTTAGCACTTCCAGTGATATGTCAGACGCTTTCTTCCCACCTACACAGAATAGTCTTTTTTTTGGATGCTGTTACATCTGACATTGACAGATGCATCATCTTCCCAAGGAAGCTGGTAACCATCATTTCCTGAACATCCCAGTTTGATGGGATTTTTACCAATTACTGAAAATCAAGTTTTACTCTTTGTTAGCTTTTAGAACTCAGTTTAAAAGAACAAAACACGCCCAAATGGAAAACAGCATCTTTGTACCATTTTTACTAGAACAAAATGAAAACGTTTCTTACCTACTATAAACAATAGTAGAAGGCCATTCTTCAATGATTATGTCGGAGTCAAAAGGATGAGGTGGCTCGTCCTGCAGCACTTCAGGCAGGTAGTACGCTACCGTCACCGACTGCGTCATCTCCGATTGAGATTCGTTCGTATGGACTATGGTCACAATGGGTATTGTTATCCCCAAGTACAGCCCTGAGGAGACAGGCATGACTTTCAGAAAATACAAACGGAGAGCTAGGTGCTGTGCTTGACTTCTGAATCATGCAACGCAAGTACCACAGGGCAGAAAGGGTTTGTCACTGAAAGGAATTCGGCAGGATGGTTCAGAAAATGGGCCTGTGTATTCCGAATGGAAGGAGCGTTTTATTATGCCTTGTAGTGCGTGTGTGTGCGCGCGCATCTCTCTCAAACCTGCAGGTGCAAATTTGTGTGCATGTGTGTCTACAGTGTGGCACTTGGTGAGCTCTCCTGTCTGCATGTAGGGCAAGGAGTTTGACTTTACCTTCTTTCCCCCCGTTAAGAGGGTTGTGCTTGCCCTGTAAACTGACCTTGGGTCATGTTTTAGATATTTGGGAGCAGGGTAGGCAAGACAAGGGGCTGCACTGTGAGTTCGCTTAGGATTTGCTGTTATCAAACGCCCTGCTGTATTTTTGCAGCGCTGTAGG